CTTTTTTTTTTTTTTTTTTTTTTTTTTTTTGTTTCTCAACAGAGTTTCTCTGTGCAGACCTGGCTGTCCTTGAACTCGGAGATTTGCCTGTCTCTGCCTCCTGAGTTTGCCACTGTGATCTAGCCTAACCTTTCTGAGACAGGGTTTCTCTGTGTAATAGCCGTGGCTGTCCTGGAACTGACTTTGCAGACCACAGAGATCTGCCTGAGGTTAACTCTGAGCTTTTTAAAAAATAAGCCTATTTCAAAAATAACCATAACAAACAATTCTTACCATTTTAATAGTTATTTAGGAAACCTTCATGCTCTTTACTGTCAGAATACCTAGTCAAAAGGTAAATCCACTGAGATGAGGATACACATATAATCACCCACTAGTGGTGAGAGCCATTATACAGCAAGGTCAGCTACACAGCAAAGTTTGATACTAATATGAGAATATAATCAGGAAGTAAAGAAGCCTATTCATCAAATAAACATTTGCCAAGTATCCATTACATGCCCAGCACCAATTTTGTTACAAGTGTGTTAGTTCCTACGAGCCTATGAAATTATATACCAAGGGAATTTCCAAACTCACTATTCTCTGTTTTATCATAATAAGCCCACCCTCCTAAAACAAGCAGAGAAAGGGCAAGAGAAAGTGCTTATAAATCCAGAACACTGAGGTGTTTTCTTGAGGACTTTGTCTCATATCAATGTTATTGAGAGGGAAGGCATTGTCAGAGAAGAGCACCCAGAAATGGCCAGCCAAAATTTCTTGTGTCCTGTTTGGATTCACAGCATACCAGAGCTGAAGAGTGTGGGGTGATATTTTGATCTCATTCTGACATTCCCAAGACTACCAATTAAAATTTGCTTTGAACCAGAGGGCGGAGTTAGCTACTAGCTGACCAAAATTAACCACAGAGGTTTTGGAGGACTGAGGAATAGTAGATACAGGAAGTATTAAGGCAGGGCTTAGGGATGGGTTCCACCTTTTTTGGATCAAAGAATGAGAGTGGGGAGGTCTGTAGTTGCTTCTTTATTTCTCTGATCATTCAGGTTCTTACTCTGATCTCTGATTCCTGAGATTTTATTGATAAAGAATAATTAGGGGCAGTGGTGGTGCATACCTTTAGGTGAATCTCATGTGAGTTCAAGGCCAGCCTGGTCTACGGAGTGAGTTTTAGGACAGGCTCCAAAGTTATACAGAGAAACCCTGCCTCAACAAAACAAAACAAACAAACAAAAAGATAAATGCTTCATTTGGTGCCTCACATTGGGTGCTATGTGTATTGAGTCTTTCTCTGTCCCCCAGACAGCTCCCAAATCATAACAAAGAGACTTCTTATTAACTATGAAGGCTAGGCTAATACATTCAGCTTGTTTCTAAGTGGCTCTCATAACTTAACCCATTGCTATTAACCTATTGCTGCCCCAACGCTGGTTTACCTCATCATCCTGCTTTCCTGCTTCCTCCTATTTTGCCATCTCCGCCCTTCTTCCTAGCATTCCCTCTGCCCGGAAAATCCTGCTTAGCTACTGGCCGTTTAGTTGTTTTTTTTTTTTTTTTTAAAAAACCAATCACAGTGACACTTCTTCATAGTGCACAGAAAGACTACTGTATAACAGCAAGGGAAAATCCAGCCCTCTATAATTTTACCTACATAGAAATGCCTGAATCACAGGGAGGAGAAACGCTGTGTGTACAATCATTCAGACTACACAGGAGCTTTGGGATTAGAGTCCTGGATTCTAGATCACCTCACCTAAACTGTCCTCTAGCTGACAGGGAAATGTCAGCCTCCCTTTGTCCTGGACTTCCATCTAATCCTTCTGTGTGGCTGGAGATTGTGCCCAGGGCTGCATGCACGCTAGGCAAGCACTCTCTTACTATTTATCCCCAGACTCCTGATAAAAATATTTTTAACAGATATATTTATTTAGTGTGTGCACATGAGGGAAGGAGACTGAGCGAATAAGCGAAGAAGCACATGCACTATGTAATGCACATGAAGGTCTAGGACAGTTGTGGGAACTGACACCCTCCTTTCTCCCACATCCTCAAGACAGGGTTTCTCTTTAGCCCTGGCTGTCCTCAAACTCTGAGATCCGCCTGCCTCTGCCTCCCAAGTGTTGGGATTAAAGGTGTGCACCACCACTGCCCAGTTGACTCTTTCCTTTTAGTATGGGAGTCCCAGGAGCAAACTCAAATAATCTAGTCTGAATATAGGCAGCTTAATTAGCTGAGCCATATCACCGCTTCCCAGTACACATTATTTAATACTAACTCCTGTGGTAATATTTTGTCTGTGATCTGACAAAGCTTTCTGAATATCAGAGTGTGGAGCTAGTCATACTAGTTAGCCATAGAGGCCAGGCAGTGATGACACACACCTTAACCCAGAGGGATCTCTGTGAGTTCAAGGCTAACCTGGGCTACACAGGATTGAATCTGTCTAAAAGAGAAACAGAGCTCAAATAAAGGTTATCCCAGCACTTGAGATCACATGCTTTTCATCCCAGTACTAGGGAGATGGAGACAGGAAGGGAAATGGCTGGGCAGAGAGAGGAATATAAGGTGGGAGGAGACAGGAGTTCAGAGTATTCAGTATGAGGATTCACAGAGTCAGGATCTTGCCTGCTTTGGTATGAGTAGTGGTAATGTCTCTCTAATGGCTGGCTCCTTTACTTTGTTGATCTTTCAGCATTTACCCTGACATCTGATTCCAGGTTATTATTATTAAGACCAATTAGAATTTGTGCTACAGCCCCCCAACCCTTACTTTTAGGGTCAATAAACACTAGTCCCAGAACATCTTTGTTCTCAAAAGTTACCTGTATTGTCCATTGCATTGGACAAGAGATAAGATCCCTCAGAACTTAAACTCAAGCCAGTTACAGAATCTGCATGGCCTCTCATGGTGTAGGTTAATTTGTTTTGACGCAGGTCCCAAACCTGTAAAAACACAAAACTGCACTCAGGATTCAAACTGAAAATAGTAGAGAAAGGCCAGGTATGGTGGTGCATACCTTTAAGCCCAGCTCCCAGCATTCAGGAGGCAGAAGCAGGCAGATCTCTGTGAGTTCAAGGCCAGTCTGGTCTACAGAGCCAGTTCCAGCACATATAAGGCCACAAATAAATAAGCCAAACACACCGGAGTCTGGAGAAATGACTTAGAGGTTAAGAGTATTTGTTGTTCTTGTGTAGGATCTGGGTTTGGTTTCCAGCATTCACACGGTGGTTCACAATTGTAATTCTAGCTGCAGAGAAACCAGTGCCTTCTCTGACCACTGGCACACATGTGGTGCACATATATGTACACATGCAAGCAAAATACTCATATACATCAAATAAAGTGTAAAATAAAAAGAAAGAAAAGTAACTATATAACCAGATGCCAGGCTTACTTATCTATGTCTAATTCCGGCACTCAGGAGGCAGATGAGGAAGATTTTGAACCTGAGACCAGCTTGACTCTCTTGACTATGAGACCATCTCAAGAGAACCACAAAGGCCAGGTGGTGGTGGCACATGACTTTAATCCCAGTACTTGAGAGGCAGAGGCAGGCAGATCTCTGAGTTTGAGGCCAGCCTGGCCTATAAAATGAGTTTCAGGGCAGCCAGGACTACACAAAGAAACCCTATCTTGGAAAAAAAAAAAACAAAAAACCTCAGGACACCTGATTTCTAGCATTTGGGAGGAGAGGCAGGAGAATCAGAAGCTCAAAAATACCCTTAGCTATCTAATGCATTTGAGGCCGTGTAGACAAAGCTAGGCACAGTGATGTATGTGAGAACATTACTAGAGACAGATGCAGGATTGCTGCAAGTGCCAGGCCAAGCAGGGACACAATCAGGAAACTGATTCACACAAAACAAAATGAAAACAAAGCCCAAGATTATATAGAGTAAACATGAAACTAGAAAACAGTTAAGATTTTTCATCTTATGTTATAATATGTATATAGAAACAATGCGTATGTACGTACATATGTATGTATGTATGTATGTTTAGAAAAAAGAAAATGAAAAGTATATTCATGCAAAGAGCCCCTTGAGCCTCCTCTGGAAGGCAGACACAAGAGTATCTATCTAGGAGTTCTGCCCTTGGCTGTTTGTTCATCGTTGAAGTTCAAGTCCAGGGCTTTGCGCACTACCACTGATTACATCACCAGCCCCAACAGTATCTGTATATATTCTGTCTGTCTTTTATACTTTTAGTAATGCTGGAGATTGAACGTAGGACCTCAAGCATGCTAGGCAACTGCTCTCCCATTCTGAAAGATGACAAATAGGAATGCTTTGCATATGCCTGGTACATGGCAGGCTCTAAATATTATTGAGCAGTTCCTAAAAATAACTCTAAAGCCAAAATATAAAAATATTTACATAATAGGCGATTAAGCAATTATGTAAAAATAAACATTAACAGGAACAGAAATAGTCTGGATGTCAAAAGGAAAAAGATTAGCAATTTTGTGAAGGTCATTGGTATTATAAAAAACTTCATTTGATACTTACTGCCATGTAATTTTTCTAAATAAATAAAATATCTGACGTCCTCTAAAGCATGTTATTTTTTAGTATTCAGAAAGGAGTTAGGTGCATGTACTGATGTAAACATTTGAATATTAGGGCTGGAGAAGGGGCTTAGTGGTTAAGAGAACCTCCTGCTCCAGAGCAGCTGATACATAGCAACCTTGGTCATTTTCCAGTACCCACATCGAGTGTCTAAACAACTAACATTAACTTAACTCCAAGGGATCAGACACCCTCTTTTGCCTCCTAAAGGATGTACATACACACCCCTAAAAAAAAAATAATAATAAAAAAACCCACAAAGAAAGAAAGAAAGAAAAAAACCCAGCCACTTTGAATGGATCAGACACCCTCTTCTGCCTCCTAAAGGATGTGTGTACATAAACACACCCCTAAAAAAACCCACTTTGAATGAATAAGATACTCTCTTCTGCTTCCTAAAGGATGTACACACACACCCCTAAAAAACCCCACTCTGAATGGATCAGACATCCTCTTCTGCTCCTAAAGGATATAAACACACACACACACACCCCTAAAAAAACCCACTTTGAATGTTTAAATACATTCCTACGATGCCAGCATTCAGAAAGTTAAGATGGAAAGATGGCAAGTTTGAGAACCTACTTTCCAAACAAGCAAAATAAGCCAGGCGTGGTGGTATACACTTTTAATCTCAGCATCAGGAGGCAGAGGACTATCTGTGAGTTCAAGGTCAATCAGAGCTACACATACAAAACAAGAGAACTCCAAACCAAGACTTATTTTAGAAAGATGAAGGCTGCAGGGCTATGAGAATCAGGACACTTTCCAAAAACATAGGAAAGAATATTTTAGAACACAGAGCTAAATTTAACTGCTGTATTCATGGGGCTATATTTATGTTTCTCATATCTGAGATAAGTTCAAATTTCAGAGTAAAACTGGTATATATTAACATACAATGGCTAGGATTTAATCTCTGCAGAGACCCCGCCCTAAGAGAAGGGATAATACACGTCTCTGAGAAGACAGTAAACTACACAAGGACCAGGTAGACCTTAGGACTACATTGCACTGTGATGCACAAAAGGCCCAGCAGCAGCACCCACACTGTTTATAGTAAGAAGTCTTCTTCTGTCTGTCTGACCCTGTGGTGAAGACAGAAGAATCAAATTCTCACAACTAAAAAGAAGCTGGTTCCCTAAAAGCTACACACCCATAAGTCCCAAACATCCTGGAAAGGAACTACAGGACAAAGAGTTCAATGGTTGACAGACATCAGAGATGGGACTTGGCACAGAGGACAACACTGTAACCTTGGGGGCGGGAGGCTGTCCTACATTGTGGCTATTTACCAGTTTTCCGGTTTTGTTTTGTTTTTAAGATTTATTTATTTATTAAGTATACAGTGGTCTGCCTGCATGCATGCATGTATGCCCGCATGCCGGAAGAGGGCACCAGATCTCATTATAGATGGTTGTGAGCTGTAGTTGCTGGGAATTGAACTCAGGACTTTTGGATGAGCAGGCAGTGCTCTTAACCACTGAGCCATCTCTCCAGCCCCTTGTTTTGTTTTTTAAGACAAAGTCTTACAAACAGGTTGTTTTTACAACCAGGTTACCCAGGTTGTTCTCAAGTTTGTGATCCTCCTGTCCTGGCCTTCCCATGCTACTAGAGACTAAAGAGATGAGTTTTTGATAGCCATAGGAAATCTATGCAAAATTTTTTTACAGGCACATACCAAAGTAGCATCTTTAATTTTTCAGTTATCTATCTATCTATCTATCTATCTATCTATCTATCTATCTATCTATCTATCTATCT